TTTCTGTGAAAGATAAATGACCTTCCTTCCCAAGGACGCTTGGCCAGGCCTTAATCCTGAGCGTGTGTGTGCGCGCGCGCGTGTGTAACTGTTTTTTGAAGGCCTGACAAGGCATTTTGATCATTTCCTCATTTTGAGGCCTACCCACGGCCTCCTCCGTGGCCCCCCTCTCTGAAACCTTATTATTCTGTCGTGAGCCCTTCTCTGGCCAGGATGTTACTTCATTTCCACCTTTTGTCTCAGCCTGAATGTGAATGATGTTCTTTCGGCAATATACGGCCGTTTAAACTCCCTGTTGCTGCCTTACATAAATATACAACACCCGTCTCGCCCTATAACTCACTTTAGGCCTGGAAAAATAGTGACTTCCTTTATTGGTCAGATTCTCCCGCAATTCCCAACAGCTGTATGTTCTCACCTTTGAGGATCCACACCGTCCAATTTGTATTTGTCTCAGCACTACGGCTGTGGATTGCCAATAAAAACGAGTCCCATTTTTATAACCCCTGAGAACACGGGGGCCGGCTTTCCAGAGACACGGATACCCCCGCCCACCCCCTCACCCCCCAAAAACAAACAAACCAAACCTCCCCACAACTTACCAAAAAGTGGTCTTTTTGTCTCAAGGACAGATGGCCTTCGAAGCGAGTGAGTCAGGGGTTCAGTAAGGCATGAAACGTGGTCTCTGGGCCTATTCACTTTCCTCAAGAAAATCCGTGTTTATTTGCTTCCTTAAGAGAACAAATGGGGTGACAGGGCGTATCATCATTAAAGTGACGCATGCTCCTCGGTATATGCGATATCCATATATGCAAGAGACTGTCTAAAAGGAATACCAAAATTCACATTCCATCAGTTCCTCCACCTCTGCTAAGAAATTCAGTTACATCCCTGTGCCTCTGAATTGAGAAGAATTTTTAAATGGGTGGATTATATCGGATTTATGTAGTTATTTGTTTGTTTTTAAAGCTTATTTATTTTAATTAGAGTTTTTCTCTCTTTCTTCTTTCTTTCTTTCTTTCTTTCTTTCTTTCTTTCTTTCATGAGAGAGAGAGAAAGAGAGAGAGAGAATACAAGCAGGGGAGGGGCACAGAGAGGGAGGGAGACACAGAATCTGAAGCAGGGTAGGTTCGGAGCTCCAAAGTGGAGCTTGAACTCACAAACCATGAGATCATGACCTGAGCTGAAGTCCAACTCTCAACTGACTGAGCCACCCGGGTGTCCTTTGAATTTATTTATTAAAGCAGATGATGTAGGAAAAAAAGTTGCTTTCAGAATGGAAATCGCTACACAGTCAAAAGGTGGTAGTATAATGGCTAAAAGCACTTTATTTAGTTATGGATCCTCATGGGTTGTGGAATTGAGCTCCGTTTCTGCTTAAGAACTGGAGAATTTGGAACACCTTCCTACATATATCTGAGCCTCAGTTGCTACATCTGTCAAATGGGGGCTCACTACCTCTCTGTCCTGTTTTGTGCATTAAAAAAAAAAAAAAACTGCATTAGTGAGTAAAGTCCAAAGTGCTCTACAAATGGAAGACCACATTTTTTTTTTGTCCTCTGTAATAAAGTTGTGGCTAATATATACAAATTTTATTTTGTTAATTAATTAATTCATTTATTTATTTTTGAGAGAGAGACAGACAGAACACAAGCAGGGGAGGGGCAGAGAGAGAGGGAGACCCAGAATCGGAAGCAGGTTCCAGGCTCTGAGCTGTCAGCACAGAGCCCAACTCGGGGCTCGAACTGATGAACCTCGAGATCATGACCTGAACTAAGTCAGACGAGTAACTGACTGAGCCCCCCGGGGGCCCCGTACTATATGCAACTTTGAAATAGCAATGTTCTGGAAAAGCAGGGGCATGAGATAGAGAAAATGAATACCTTGGGCATCCTGGATTCGTGCCACAAAACCACACACTGAAGGGAAAGGGCAAGAATATTAAATACTAACGCGTCAAAGCTGCACTTAAAAAGGACGTAAACTCGAGGAACAGGGAAATTTGCCAGATTAAAGTCAGTGACACCCCTCTATTTTATGACCTCTCAGCTCTCCACAGGAGGAAGAAGGCTGACTGCTGACATACAGCATGTGTTAGCAGAAGGGACTGCCTGCCAGCTCTTTGCCAAGTGCACACCGACAATTGTTTCTGTCGTAGGCAAAACTCTGGCTTTGGGAGGTGTTTCCTTCCGTGCTCCCAGCATCACCCCCGAAGCACGACTGATGATTTTGGAAAGGCACCTACCTGTGCCCAACACATTAAACCTGCCCCCCCAAGGCGGCTCCCAAACGGACTCACATGATCTTTTCAGTATTTACCCCGAACGCGGCCGAGGAACGCGCAGTCTCTGCATGTCTACACCCGCTCCTCGGATGGGTGCGCAGAAGGAGCTTCTTGTAAATTCTCTTCTACGTTCCCACGTCGGACCCAAATCTCCAAAACTGTCCCTCGGAGGAACTGAACATTGTCTTCGGGTCAAACTGGTCCCTGGTCAGTGGGGAAATTTTTCTGCTCTAGGTGAAATGTTACCAAGTACGTTTTCCCCCCACGAAGCCCTGGACTCGAGCTGTTTTATTTATCTGACCGATCCGAGGACTGTACAACGTGCTGTTGCACATTGTAACATAAGCCTTTTTTTTTTTTTTTTTTTTCCTAAAGTGTGCCCTGAGTATTTGCAATTGTTATCAGGCCCAGATGTATCTGAGTGTCAGCGAGGAGCTCTGCTAGCTGGCTCAGATATACAGAATGTAATTAATTAGCTCAAAGGCCTCTGCTCCAAGTTTGTAGTAGAAGGAGCGCCTGAGAATAACCATTTGCTCCTCTCCCCTCCTCCCCTCCCTTACCCCTCCTCCCCTCCAACATGGTGGCAAAAGGTGAGAATCTATTGTTCGTGATGCCGAAGGTCTGAGAAAGAGCAGATTCATGTTTCGATGGAGAATCCCGCCCCCCCCCCCCCCCCCCCCCCGGGGAAAAATTTATGGGGGGGGGGGGGGGGGGAAGATTAATAAAAGCTGGGAGCGGAAGTGGACGGGTTGAGAGGGTCTCAAAGGGGACAAAGTGGTCCTCCCTGCATTTTAAACCGGTGTGCTGAAAATCCCAAATCACACTATTTTTGCTTTCTTCTCCATCCAGATTCTCCCTTCTAGACCTTCAACTTTTAGAAACGTGTCCAAGAAGGAGCGTTTGCATTTTTTAGGCAACGCTTCCCAACCTGTGCCCCGTCCAGTGCGCTGTGCTAGAGAAAAGGTTCTTAGGTACCAGAAAGAAAGCAAAAAAGGTATGATGCAACCAAGGATGGGCGTATGGTAAGCTGAGCTGCATTCTTAAGAGCGCTGACCAGTATATTAGTTTCGGGGCAGGGGGGAAGGCACGCCAAACAAAAATAGGGGAGTCATTTACCCAATGCAGTACACATTGGTAAAGGCAGCGTAATTCCTTCCTGACCCTTGCAGGAAATCAGTTTATGCCCTGAAGCATGAAATTTGATTGTAATTATTTTAGCTTGCTCGGCTACATATGTTATTGATGTTCTTTCCTAAAAATCACCAGCCTTTTAGAAACCCTGCCACAGTACTTGACTCCATGACCTGTAAGGTATACATAATAGAAAATAAGCCATGCAGGGTTTCTCTATTGATTGTTCCACAGAAACTCTCTCTTCCTAAAGAGCAAAGCCCCAGTGTTCTTATAATAGTTGTATATAAAAACAAGACTCTATTTACAAACGTCTATATGCTTCTAAAAGGTGCAAAGTCCGTATGAGTTAACCAACTGCCTAGAAATCTTATGTATTCTGAGAAAACCCAAAGTTCCATAGAGACTTTGCCCTTAGCTTAGAAAACATTGTGTCCTATTGGGGGCGGGGGGGGGTGTGTTTGTTTTGTTTTTACAATTACAGAGAAGTGACAAGTTGGGACAATTATCCAGATGACAGAGGTCTCTGAGTGTGTTACTGAAAATACACACTGAGGTGAAGATCCCATGAAGTTACATGTATTTATCAAAGTTTTTTTTTTTTTTAATGTTTTAATGTTTATTTTTGAGAGAGAGAGCGAGCACGAGTGAGGGAGGGGCTGAGAACAGAGGGAGACACAGCATCTGGAGCAGGCTCCAGGCCCTGAGCTGTCAGCCCAGAGCTGGACATGGGGCTCGAACCCACAAAATCATGACCCCAGCCAAAGTCGGACGCTGAACCGACTGTATTTACCAAAGTTTTCAAATAACTTTCCAATTCCTCACTTTGCCTTCCTGCTGAATAAATGAGTGAAGATGCTAGTGTTGTAAATAAATAATAAATCAGTCAGATAAGCCAGGTAAAAGCAGATTACAACTTCCTGAATCCCAAACTAGAGACTTGTGGTATTTATGGGTTTGGTTGCAGACCTACTCTCCTTCCCCAGCTGATTCTCTTATCTTAGGAAAATCAAAGACTTTGCCTGGAAAGCAGAGAAAGCTCGTCTTCATAATACAGAAATAGATGCCAATATCTGTACATTTTCTGTTAGTTTGCTCTTTGGAGAAGGCTGCCTTCCAGCCTGAGCACAAAAACCTAACTGAAATAGAATTAATTTTTTTTAATGTTTATTTATTTTTGAGAGAGAGAGAGAGAGAGAAAGAGAGATAGCACAGGCAGGGGAGGGGCAGAGAGAGAGGGAGAGAGAGAATCCCAAGCCGGCTCCGCACTGTCAGCACAGAGCCTGACACGAGGCTCGAACTCTCAAACAGTGAGATCACGACCTGAGCCGAAACCAAGAGTCAGGAGATCAATGAACTGAGTACCCAGGCGACCCTCTGCTTCCAAATCCTTAATGCCAAAATACTCTGTGGCATGTGCCTGACCACAACTGTGTGATCAGACATGACCAGCTAGCCCCCTGGAATTTCCATCTTACCAAGTAAGAGCAGTATTACAGAAACAAATCACGCAATTAATTCTTGATTATCCCGGCAATAAGGACAGAGGGGGGACAGCGGAGAGTGTGAATACCCAGAGAAACAGGACTGCAGAGGCGGCTGGAAAGGACGGGAGGGTTTTCTGAGGAGGGATGTCTGAAACGAGATTGGAAACTCCAGTAGGAACTAAGCAGTCAGGTGGGAGGCGAACCACGTTTCACACTGGAGAAACACCTCTCTTTCGCAGTGGGATGAATGCACTTGGCTTTGCTTGGCCGTCTGACCCCTTCATTTAGAGGGAAAGTCAGTCTCAGCACATTCGGGACAAGGCATGTGCGTGAAACCCATTCTGCCGGTTGCCGGAGGGGCTGTTGTAATCTCAGGACATCCCTGGGACTCTCTGTGACGCCACTGTGATTTTTCTTCAGACTTTGCTCCCAGGGCCCCCGATTTGGCTCTGGCGAGGCACCAGGAAGCCTCCTGCGGAAAGGCTGTGCTACCCCAGAGGTGAAACTCAAACCACACCCAATTTCAGGGGCGAAGAGCTTATGATATAAAGAGTTAGAGGACTTCACAAGATATCAGAATATTCAAAGAGAGGATGAAAGGAAAATGGCAGATAATGAAGGGACAAGAAGAAAGGAAACCTCTTCCTCTCTAAAGAGGATTCCTAGATTGGTCATAAAATAAAGAGGCACCTAAATGCTTCGAGGAGCAGCAGCAGGTAAATAACGGAGTGGAAATGGGAGAACACACGTGTTTCTATGCGAATATGCTCAACTTTCTGCCGCCCCCCCCCACCACCATCCCCACCTGGTTAGATCGTGCAGGCTCTCACACCTCCTCTTATGAGATAATTTTCCCCTGAAGCCTTCGTCCTGCCAAGTCAACAGGGCTTATGAAAATCAAGTTGTATTCTGTATATTTAATACATCATCTCTAAGGATAATCATTCTGGAATCTGAACTTGTTTCTGTTATCTAGCTCTGCTTGACAATGATTTATGAACCAGAAAACAAGACAGCTTCATTTTCATAAAGCAAACGGAACCTTCTGGACCAGGAGGAGCTGTGAAACTCGTTTTGACTGGTAAACTGAAACAAACATGACATAAAAGTCAATACAATCGCACCGCTGGGTTCTCATCGCACAGTGTAACTTTTTCCCCCAATCCAGCAGGATGACAGTTGAAATGTTGCATGATCCAACAGCAATTTTTATCTTACTAATTACCAGCCTGGTGTGATCAGGAAGGGCACTGAGAAATGGAAATAAACACATGACAATCATCTCCTAGAAATGTCAGGCTCACTCAGGAAAAGCGAGCTGGGGAAAAAAAAATGTTTTGGAAGGAAATATTTTACGGTTTCTATTAAAAACTCTTTGATGTCTTTCACTTAAAAAGATGGCAATATTATATGCCAGATGTGGACATCATTTACCAATAGTAAATGCTACTCATGATGGGAATTTGCAAAATAATTTAATGATGTACGTGAACTACACTGAACATTGCGAAGATAGTCTTTTGCCCGTATACATACATGACATGTGCATAATTACGGTAATAAACTCTTTGCTGATTCACATGGGAGGGAGGGAGGTTTTTCAGAGTGGTAGAGAGAACAAAGCACCGTAGTTCATACCTGAGTGTCGTCACTTATTTGGGGCAAGGCTTTTTCTTTTATTATAGAGAGAGACACAGAGCGCAAGCAGGGGATAGGGGCAGAGGGACAGGGAGAGAGAGAATCTTAAGCAGGCTCCACATTCAGCACGGAGGCCAATGCAGGGGCTGCAACCCAGGACCCTGGGATCATGACCTGAGCAGAAATCAAGAGTCTGAGGCTCAACCAACTGAGTCACCCAGGCGCCCCTGGGCAAGTCCTTCTATTCACTAGGCATCATTGTTCTCCTCTATTAGAAGGGGACAATTAATAATAATATGAAGCCTACTGGGTTGTTGAGAGAGGATAAAATGACATTTCGCTCTGTGTGCCTTCTTTCGTTGTTCTTGTTGAGTTGTTTGGCAAGCATTACGGAATATCCGCCCCCTTCTTCCACTTGCTTTTGGAAAATAAGACAAAGGTAAAAACTATTCAAATGGTATCCACTACTTTGAAATGTAAGAAGAGAATTTATCACAATCTTCTAAAACTACGCCACAGTGGTGAAGTCACATCATGAACACATCTGGGCAAAATGGAATGATAGTGCCTTAAGTGCCTGATTTAGTCTTTGAAAATGGTCTTAAAAGGAGACAGGAACATAAAACAACAGGCATTTTAATGGACTGCATTTGGCTAACTTCAGCGTCTGAATAATTGATTTGAAATCATAATCCTCGTACATACTGTTAACTATCAGAGGTATATAAAAAGTATTAGATGGAACACATGAGATCTCACCTAATTCCCATGTATGTTAAATGATCTTTGTCTACATTTGATTTAAATCTGATAGACTAAAGAAACACACATCCATTGGTGAAGCAAAATGCACCATTTGCGGGGGGGGGGGGTGGCGCTATTTTTGTCTACACCAAAGGCTACTCCATGATTGTGTCAGAAGTATTTTTTTTTTAATGTTTATTTGAGAGAGAAAGAGAGAGTGGGACCTAAGGATGGGCAGACAGAGAGACAGAGAGAGAGAGAGAATCTCAAGCAGGCAGATTTCACCCCATTAGCATGGAGCCCAATGCGGAGCTCAATCCCATGAACCATGAGATCATGACCTGAGCCAAGATCAAGAGTTGGACACTTAACCAACTGAGCCATCCAGGCGCCCCAACGTCAGACAGATTTTTATTTTATTTATTTATTTTTTTTTTCAACGTTTACTTTTTTTGGGACAGAGAGAGACAGAGCATGAATGGGGGAGGGGCAGAGAGAGAGGGAGACACAGAATCGGAAACAAGCTCCAGGCTCTGAGCCATCAGC